CCGCCGGCCATCCCTAACTGCCGCTGGGTCCAGGCGAAAGGGCCAGCGAGCAGTCGGGGCGGTCCTCGGGCCCGCCGCACCCAGCAGCCCCCCGCGTGCGTTCACGGGCACATCCGCGGGATGTGCTGGCCGGGGAGTCGCCTCCTCTGAGGCTGAGTAGGGGCCTCCTGGTGGCCCGGGTGACGTGGCCAGGGACACCCGAAATCCCACCCATGCCCCAGGCACAACAAGCCACACCCCACCCTGGGCCGCGACTGGCGGCAGACACTGTCGCTGCTTATACAGCAAGCACCCCGCATTCTTGAGCCCCCCGCGCCCCAAACCAAAACCTTCTTAAAGAGCAGGAGGAATGAGAAGGGCCAGGGCCTCCTGGAGAGGACGCCAGAGTCTGGAGGCCGCAAGCTGGAGGGGAGAGAAAACGCGCTTGTGGGAAAGCCGCTGAACCCGGCCAGCAGCAGCCGGAAAGGGCTGGGGGGCAGCAAGGGGGCGGCTCCTTCGGGGCACTGCAATGAAAGACGGAGCAAGAGGTGACCTTTGGGGTCATTTCCAGGACACCCCCTCTCCCGGGCCGGCGGCCCCCAGGCCCGCCAGTGGAGAGCCTGCACTATGCTACACTGACAGCAGAGAGGGCCCTTGAGCTACAGATGCCAGGAGCCACTCGGCCAGCAGGAGGGCAGTGTCCTCTCTGCAGAGGCCACCACAGAGGGAAAGGAACATGAGAAGCCCAGAACTTCAGCCAACGAAAATTACTCCAAGGACACAGCCATCGGACAGGAGGAGAAACTGGAACACGGATGCTCAGTTACTCTGCAAACAGAGGGAAAGATCTCCAGGGAGCACTGGAAAGAGGCCCTCGGTCGCTGCAGACTGAGGGCAAGAGACCCAGGCGGGGGAGGCCAGGCACGGGAGGCCGGGCAGGGTGAGGCCAGCAGGGGGAGGCCTGGAGGGAGGAGGCCAGGCAGGATCCAGGCTGTGGGGGCAGCGCTACTGGGGGCCCAACAGAACAGGGAGGTGTGAGTCAAAGACCTTCTGTCCAGCAAAGCAGGTCTTCGGATGACCAACAACAGAGAAAGAGTTCTAAGCACGCAGCAGTGGAGGGGGGAGCCGACCACGAGCCCTGCCGAGGGCATTTACCAGAGAACTAAGCATCCCACGGAGATATGACCGGGGTCTCCTTGGGAAATGGACCTTGGGGGAACGCTTAACATATTTAACTACATATCTGAATTAAATGTGGGAATAAGAAGATGATAGATGTGACACGTTTGGTGAAAGCAGAAAGAATGCAACTACAACGTGGTAACTGACAACAGAATGAATAAGCCCAATAATGGCTACACAGAAGCTGTACGGGATTTTTATTCTATAATGATGGTGGCGTAGGAAGCTGGAGACCGTGTTTATATCGTTTATAATGACGGTTGTAAGGGAAACTGTGTGCCGAATTTATATTGTATATGGTGGGGTTGGACAGGGAACTGGAGACTGTATTTATATTGTACACATTGGTGGTTATAGGCAGCCACGATCAGTAGCTGAAACTCCAGACAGTAAAAGTTTACAGGACAGTGGGGCATTTTTAAAGGCAGTAAGCACAAAGGTAATCACTAGAACAAAAATAAAAACTTTTTACGTATCAAAAGAAATTACATATAAATGAGCAGAGAAAATACATCTCATAGAGCAGGGCAAAGCATTGAGCTTACTACAGAGTGTTTATAAAATAAAATACTGCAAAAATGTTAAGACCAAGCCTATCAATCCTAGAAATATTGGCTATACAAGTAATTAGGAACAGTGTGAACTCACCTACGATTTGGCTTGAAAAACAGAATCTAACTACATGTCATATACAAGGCCGACTTTATAAAAGGGATTCAGAATGAAGAGGTGGGCAAATATTTATCAGGCAAATGGAACTAATAATAAAACGAGGGTTGTAATCTTGATATCAAAGTTGAGTCGGGACTCAAGGGGGAAGCATAAGTGTGGCTGATGCTTTGTAATCCTAAGGGGGGAAAATCACATTTCACAACAGAAATATCGTAGTAATAAGTATTGCCGCATCCCGCCAAACAACAGCTGCCTTTATAAGTGAAACTGTGGGCCGTGGAAGGAAACAATAAAGGGAACACAGTGATAACAGCACACGTTGGCACACAGTATGGAAGAGACCGGGAAGAAGAGAGGAAGGGCGGGAACAGAGTTTGAAACAAGAACATAATCAGTTAGGAAGACCCTATGGCGATCTCAGCGCACAGACATAGCTATGGCAGCCATATGGTAATCCAGAATGCGGCTTCTTGCGTGCACATAAAATAGCCATAAAACACGGATCTTCTACCAGGTAACAAACCATCAATGTTTCCTAAAGTAGAAATGTTTCGATGAAGATTTTCTGATCAAAGTTCAATAAGACTGAAAATTAGTTTAAGTTGAAATAAAAGACTAGAGCTAAAATAACAGAAAGTGTATAATTGATCATTAAAACGTCGTATGCCAGGGCTGATGGAACCTATTTAAAGATGTTATCAGATGAAAATTTATAGTCTTACATTATTTCAACTTAAAAAGGAGGAACTAAACCTTTACGTGCCAAGCTCAGGGAGTCAAGAGAAAAAGAATAAAAGCACAAGGAAGAGTCATGAGGTTAGACGCAGGACTTCGT